CCTCCTCCTCCTCCTCCTACCTCCTCCCTCCTCCCCTCCCCTCCCCTCCCTCCTCCCTCCTCCCTCCTCCCTCCTCCCTCCTCCCTCCTCCCTCCTCCCTCCTCCCTCTCCCTCTCCCTCTCCCTCTCCCTCTCCCTCTCCCTCTCCCTTGCCTCTTCTCCTCTCCCCTGCTGCTGATCTCCAGCTAATCAATCACTCTCTCTCGCCTCTCTCCCCTTCCAGATCGTTCTCTCTCCCTCTCATTTCCCGCTTGCTTCTCCAATTCTCACAACATCTCCACCTTCTTGAGACTTTCTTCGCTGTATCGAGCGCTAAAATCCAGATGGGGGTAACAGAATTTCACTGGACATTGCAAGATCCAATTAACTGGAATTTTGAAAATTTGTCCGCACAAGAAACGCGAACAGATGTGTATAGTCGAGAGTTTCAAGCATTCGGAAGGAACTGCCGCTTAGTTCTTGCACCAAGGATGAAGGAAGAAGTTTCTGCAGGGACTGGGATGAAGATGAGGAGAACTCCTGTTGTTGGCTTGTTCGTGGAGTTTTGCGATGCTTGCGACTTGTCACAAGAGGCGCATGTGTTTGAATATCGACTGACCATAAGAAACCAAAAAGATGACAACCTTTCAATCAGTATGGATGAAGTGGCTGATTTCTCGCAAACTGGAGGGTCTCCTCAAAGGAGATTTGGGTTTGAAACTTTCATGACTCTTGATTTGTTGAAGGATGTGCATGCAGGATACATGAATGACAGCAATATCATTGTGCATGGTGTTTTCCGACGTGTTGATGCCATTCCCGAGGTCATTTCTGAGGTCAGAGACACGCAGACCATCAAGCTCTGTGCGATCTTTGAAAGCGACTTGAAATCTCACCTGGGAATTGATTTGTTTGATGCGTCCACTGTCGCTCAAAGGAATGTATCTGCTAGATGCCGACTCATCGATGTTGTCGATCAATTGTCGAAAGATCATACATGGATTCAGAAAGAGCAGTTTGTGTTGTACAACGCCAGGTGCAAAGATGGAATTTCAAGGTGTGCAAGAATTACATCAGCAGAGTTATACCATGGTTTAGACTGCTTGGAACATGCGGGTGATAGCCTGCAATTGATCTTCTTGAAGCAAGAGAGCTTGCTGTCAGAGAGATCGAAGAGATTGTTTGTCAAAGTGCATGATGAATCTCTCAAATCTTTCAAGTATGCAGGATGCTACACTGTGCATGACGAGACACTTCTACGCGATTTGTACATAAACGTCATGCAGAGTTGGAGGTTGTCAAGGGGGGATGAAATCTTTGGCTGGCGAGAAGCCGACGGGGGTCTGAAACCTCTGATGGACTCCAAGCCTGTCAGACTCTCAGGCTTGCATGACGGCAGCACGCTCTACTTGCGAGGCCAGAGAACCGATGCTCAACAGGTGCACCTGCTGCTTCAGAAACTGCAACTCACAAGAGGATCGAACGATCTTAGGCTTGAACCTTTCTTCCTTACCATGGAGGCAAGGGCTCCTCTTCTTGAGCTCCTGGACACGATCAGAGTCTCTTCTCCTGCAGCCTCAGAGGCAGGGACTCGCTTGCTGCTCTGCGACCATGATGTGGCTACAAACTCCCCAGCAGCGACCTTGCTATGGGATGACTCTTGCGCACAGACTCAAGGCAGGACCTCTAATAGCATCCTGCATCTTCTTGCTCGGCAGCGTCTCGGCAGAGAGAAGTTCGGCTTCAGCCACAAGGCTCCTTACATGTTGTACATGCAAGTGCTGAAAGACCGAGAAAGCATAGATACGACTATCGCATGGTACGGCCCGAAAGCAACCAGAGAGCTTGCGTTCACTGTGACTTTATCAACCAACACCTGTCTTGATGACATAATGCGAAAACTACGGCAGATGGCTCCAGTGCGAGGAGCAGGAGATCTGCGGTTGCTAGCAGTGCACGATCACCGCATTCTACATTTTTTCCAGGTAGAAAGATGAGGGAGGGGAGGGAGGAGCTGAAAGATGCGCCAGGACTCTGACGAGATCATCTCCTTCAATCCCGACCGCGTGACCCTGCGAGCCGAGGAGGTCGCGGGCGACGACTACAGCGCTCAGCTGCCCCATCAATACGTGGAGTTTGTGAGAATCCGACGAGACAGCTCGACTTGCGGTGAACTGCCGCCTGAGCTGATTGGGGATCCGATGCTGCTGTCGGTTGGGATGAGCGAGAGCGTGACGAACCTCAGCGAAGGATCGCGTCGAGACTTGACCTCAGCTCCGACCAGGTGCGTTCCCTGCCTCCTCCTGCCACACTTGATCGCCTGCCTTGCAGCTCTCTCTGCACGTCGTTGGGCTGGGAGCTACTATAAAGCCCTTGGCTGACCGCGCTGCCTTGTTTTCCCAGCATGACTTGGGTTATGGTGATTTCGTTGGCATAGAAATTAGAAGCGATCGCGTAGCTGAAGGGAACAACGCGCGGCTAGAAGAAGCGTCAGAGAACATCTTGAAGGCAGCAAACACAAGCAATGTCGGCTATCTCATGCAATACCCTGACGACGCTCTGTTACCTCTCGAAGCCAAGGACAACCGAGAAGAGCCCCAGTCCCATGAGTTGGACATCGACTTGGTGAAGAGATCGCTGGAGAATCAAATGAAACAGTTTGCAAGCGTCGCATCAGTGGATGGAGCAGAGAGCGAGAGCTTCTTTGAAACAATCAGAATGCTTGAGGTCCAACTGAGTGAGTTACAATCCGTTGCAAACGACAAGATTGAACGTTTGGAGACTCAAGTAAGACAAGACGAGTCACGTGCTGTTGCCGCTGAGCTCCTGGTGCAGGTCGACTCCTTGACAAGCTCAAACCTGCAGGTCTCTCGCGCGGTTCTCAGCATCGCCTCTGACCTCTGACTTCTCAGCTTGAGGTGTCGCATCGCTCGTTGCAAGTCAGAACTTCACCTGACTGACGGCTGTGATCTCATCATGGTTTGCGTAGGAGAGGATCGAAGAGCTGCTCGCTGTCAATGCCTCGATGGAATTGCAGCAAGAGAAGGTAGTCGTGCCTTTTACCTCCCACCCTTCTGACGTTGTGCTGACAGCTTATGGCGGAGAATGCGCTACACAGAGACGATGTCAAGTATAACACCTGGAGTGACTGCAAAGACTTGCTATACTTGACGGTGACTGCAGGAGAAACTCAGATTTAAGTCCGCTACAGATACTCGACATGCTTCTTGAAAGCGACATGGTCAACATCTCCTTGAAGCAAATCGAACTCATGGTGTGAACTTTGTGCTTCTTTCTGGTCGTGACTACAAGAAGGAGGGGAAAACGAAAGCGTTTGCGCAGAAACTTGACAAGGCGCGAAGGGCATTGAAGGCAAGAGAGGCCTTGAGTGACGAAATCATTGACAAGAGATTCGTGTGACAGCAAAACGTGCCGGATGGATTTCGATGTCCCATCACACAGGTGGGAGGCAAGTGAAACCAGTCTGAGGGTTGACGAGGCTTGAGCAGGAGGTCATGCGAGACCCTCACATTGTGGCTGAGACCGGCCTGAGCTACGAGAAGAGCGCCATAGTTCAATGGCTGCAGGTACTCCAGCTTGCTCGCGAACAAGCAGATCAAACTCGTTCAGGACCACAACACCGACCCTCTGACCAACTTGAGATTGAAATCGAAACAAGTACTCCTTGAACCTTCGCACTTCACCATGCTCTCGTTGACGGTGAGTGGCAGATCATTCCGAACCATGGGCTGCGCGCCACTATCGGTCAGCCGAGCTTCTGTCGTCTTGTTCTTGCACTGACATCCCGCTCAGAGGAGTTCTTGACACATCAAGAATGAATCTAACAAACGCGGGCAAGGGATTGTTGTACTACGCTACAAGCATTTCTTGTTGTACTATACTCCAAGCATCTTAAGTTCTTTCTATTCTACATGAAACAGCCGACTACAGCAAATTCGCTTGACCCCTGCCTGATTTCGATTGTCATTCATAAGAGAACGGCAAGCATCGTATACCATCCGTTTGAGACTGCGAACCTGAGCTGTTCGACCTGCAAGTCGCTGAACACGGTGCCCTGGTCAGCAAAGTGAAGTCAGAGCAAAGATCGGAGACTTTGCCACGACCTGGAACTTTCCATCGAGGAAATAATCTAGAGTTTTGGTGTTTTTGTCAAGGAGCAAGCATATGATCTTGAAAGCTTCTCAACTACAGAAGATGAAAAGTTGAGACACTCACTTGTCCCGTCCGAAAGTTTGAGACGAAGAAGTCGCGCTCCACCGTGCGAGACCCCTTGAGGTACTGCAAGGCATCATGAGCGAGCTCGCCCCACCCTCACTCCCCTCCACGCACCTGCGGCGTGCTCTTCAACCGACCGTTCCTGCTGCTGCCGCCGCGCACGCCGTACCCGATCTCCGGGAGGTAACTGAACAAGCTGATCAAACGGGGGGAGGGAGAGAGAGGGAGAGGGAGAGGAAGGTCAACCGATCGGCGCCAAGACTCTTGCAAGCCTTGAGGTTCACGACCCCGACAAATGCGTCTTTGCTTTGGATGTCTTGGGCATAGATGAAAACCATCCTCCTCTCTGCTGAGAGTTGCTCTGGCGGCTCTGCAGACATTTAAGTGGCAGATGAAGAAAGTCAGACCACCTTGGACAAGGACAGTTCCTTCCCCCACGATCTTCACAATGCGACCTCCTTCTGAAATTTCTGGAGCTCCGTCAGAACCGTCAGAACCGCCAGCGCTGTAGCAACTCTTACTAGCGTTGCGACAGATCACTTCAGTATCCCAACAACAGGCTGAGAGATCCTTCATGCCCGGAAGCGCATGCTCCTTCCTTGAGGAGCGATACTTGCGCTGCTTGGTCGATCTTTTTGTCTTAGCGATGCTGTCAAGAATCCAGGGAGACTCGAACGACGTTCTTGTCTCGTTGCCTCTCAGCATCGAATTCAAAGTAATCGTGACCAGGTCAAATGCTGCGACTCGTTCGATCAAGGGGTGACAGTTGTCTGCTTCAGCTTCTGCCAGTTGCTTTAGCAACTTCACACGCCATAAGGAACAAGTATGAAGCAGACGATGAAAGACACTTCTTATATCAATCTCCCACTCCATCACCGATTCTCTCATTCGAATCAACTGCTCGAACAGCTCTCCAGCGATCATCACTATCTTCTCTTTGCTGACACATCTAAGCCGGATGTTGAGTTCCTCCAGCACGGGGAGTACCTTGGACGTATCAGCATGCTAGCAGCAAGCAAATCTCACGCTACTTGGCTTGAAAGGTTCCCAGGCACGAGGTTTCGTCGCGTGCGAGCCAAATGAATCCTGTAGTCCAATCGCTTCCATCTTCGTTGGAACTCCTCAGCCTCTGCCCACTTCACAGCTTGTCCTTCGCTTCTCAGACGTCTGACGGCGAAATCACCATCATCTCCGGCTTGAACTGAGCTGCTGCTGTTGGAGCCCTTGGCATTTGGTACTTGGTTGTGTTTGCGGAGTTCTGCAGAGATTTAACAGCATGAGGGAGGTGTCGAGGCATCTTGACCACCTGGATAGAATTGACTCACACTCGGGAAGTCACCATTGCTGCATAAGACGCATAAGGTGCTTTACAGGCGACAACCCTCTCTACCTCAACTCGTTTTCCTCCTTGGACGCTGCTCCGCTCTCTTGCCCGTACAACGCCTTGGGGATGTATCCATCTAGAGCGCATGGTCAACTGAGCGATCGCAATGCACGACCAACAAGCATGTACTACCTTTGTCGAGAATGAGCGATCTGATGGCTTGCGCCTCCACAGCGTCGGACTCCTCATACTCCCTTCGAATCGCTGCCAAGTACTCTCTTCCTGGCAAGACACTTTGAGATACTGAAGGCAGAGAGCTTCGAACTTCTTCGTGCCTGTTCTTGGATGCCCTCTGCTCACGGTCAGATCAGGAAAGTTCTCCTTCATCTCCCTGGCTGCGCTTCAGTCTGCCAAACTGTCCTACTCCCCTCGCACACCTTAGATCCCTCTCTAGGCTCGAGCTGTTCTCGTACCCCACAGGCAGCACCTGCACTGGCACTCTGATGGCGAGTGAGTGAGAGTTGAGAGAGAGGAGGCCTCACATGTCCTCTGACACCACCTCATCCTCGTCCGAGAACACCATCGAGCTCACGTAACCAGACTGCATGGCGGACTTCACCTCCTTCAACGCATCGCTCCCTCCTCCTCGGAGGCGCAGCAAGGCTGAGCATGGGGAGGGCTCTGCTCCGCGTGTCTCGTCGCTCAAGGGGAGCAGAGAGAGGAGCAGCAAGACGCTCAGCATGGCGACCCATGCAGGTCCTGAGGCAGCGGTCTTGTATAGTACCCCCCCTAATCATTTGAAATTGGGGTGGGGGTAGAAAGGGGGCCAACCCCCACAATGAGGGAACAATGCACGATGAGATAAGATATGAGATGCTTGATGAGATAAGATATGAGATGCTTGATGAGATAAGATATGAGATGCTTGATGAGATAAGATATGAGATGCTTGATGAGATAAGATATGAGATGCTTGATGAGATAAGATATGAGATGCTTGATGATATAAGGACATTGTTGAGAGTCAGCTTGATGAGGAGTTGATAGTACGAGTGATTTTGCAACGAAAAAAAAATGTTTATATGAATATTCAAGCTTTCTAGATATGGAGTTGATATACATGGCAGGATTCACAATGCCTGGCTGCTTTTTCCTCATCTTTCTCATTGTTGCGATTCTCGGATGTCCGATCTCAAGCATGGGATATGTCAATTACTCTCCCTTACTCAGCCGGAGCACAAGAATCACAAGGACAGGAATCTCGGACGTTAAGCTTGCTTCCATCTCAGTCAGACTGCGTGGAATAAACCCTTGCAGGCTGAGAAGATCGCATGACTTACGGATGCAAGCTTCAGAGGCAAAGAGCTTCTGTACTCTAGTAATCCAAGTGGTGAGACAAGACGATGAAAACGGAAGGACGATCGATGCGGACGAGCTTTCCGAGCTCCTGATGGAGACAGGCGCTCTCAGCGTGATCGTCGAGGACGCCGATCGGGGGACAGAGCAGGAGCTGCCCATCTTCAACGAGCCTGGACGAGCGGAGAGGTACTGGAACAATTGCAACGTCACGGCCTTCTACCCGCATGGATGGGACATTCCAGCTGTTTTGGAGATGGTGGTCAAGAGCATGGACTTGCCTGTGGTGCCTCGATATGCAGTGGATGAGGTCAGAGATCAGGACTGGGTGAAGCTTGTGCAGCAGTCCTGGAAGCCCATCTTGATCGATCACCTCCTACTCCGCTTCCCATGGCACAGCAAGGAAGACATCGACTCTGTCGTCCTGCAGGACAGCGAAATCCACGAGTTGATGCTTGAAGGAGGAATGGCTTTCGGTACAGGAGAGCATCCAACTACCCGACTGTGTTGCAGGTGGTTGCAGCAGAAGCTCGCCCTGGAGCACGGACAGCGAGTGAGGGTGATGGACTACGGCGCAGGAAGTGGAGTAGGAGATGAGACGCTGGGAGGAGGAGGCTGAGTTCGAGTCTCAGGTCTTGGGATTGACGAGCCTGCGCTTCGGTGCGGAAGCAGCAGTAGGTGTTGAAATAGACCCAGGCAACGAGCCCCAAGCTGATTCCAATCGCTGCTAAGCCTCTGGTAGATTCGATAGTGGCAGCGCACTCGAATGCAAGACTAAACGGCATGGAGTCGTTCAAAGTCTACCTGCCCTCCTCAACCGTCAGCAAGAGCTCGGCCAGGCAGCGAGTGGTTGACGCTGCTGCAGGCCAAGGACGCTGAGCTCATCGAAGACCTGCGGTACGCTGCTCAGCTTCGCCAACTCAGGTCAGTTGATCTGACGCTTCATGGCGAATAATTTGTCATCAGTGGCATGCTCAGCTGGAATGACATGCTTGAGACGCTTCCCGATGACTGCCACGGTCGTTGCTGTCGCTGCTTCTCATCTTGACATGCATGTAGGGTATGACGTCGTGGTGTCAAACATCCTTGCTGGGCCTCTAATCCGCCTTGCTCCAGAGCTTGCAAGGTTTCTCCCTCAATTCACGCTCACGTGACTGACACCTTATAGGTTGAGCCGAGCTCAAGGGCTGCTGGGCTTGTCGGGGATCTTGCACGAGCAGGTACGACGTGATTGAGTCTCATCTAGCTGAGAACGAACTGAGCGTGGGAGGCAGGCAGAGCGCGTCATAGAAGCTTACGAGCCCTTCTACGAGCAGCTTCGGGTAGAGCAGGCAATCTAAGTCTTGAATCTCTTCTCCGATGACCTGCCGCACAGGAGGATCAGGGATGGGTTCTCATAACCGGCAAACGGAAGCCTTAAGAGGTTAAGGCCAAGGAGCATTATACACGCGTTGATTCTCAATCCTAAACTACATGAGACGATGCTTCACTTACCAACTCCAGCACAAGCAACATGTGGAAAACAAATTGTGTCAAGCTCATGGGAATGTGTCCACATCTAATGATTTAAGAAAATTCGCATCTCTCGCTATCTATTGTTTCCTAACTCTCTTGAGTTCTGCATCAATCAATTCCTTTGACAATCGCAAGTCGCTTGCCTTGAGTGCCTGCACATCACGTCACACCCCAAAACTTACACGCAAGAGAGCAGAGTGAATTTACCTCAACGTTGGAGTTGATGCTGATCTCTTTGGCCTGCAGTTGTTGAGCCTGCACGCGATCCCTCTGAATTTGGCGTTTATTGTTCGTAATTGCCTGTGCGATCGATCCAATGATTTGACTTTCCGCACTATTCGCATTTGTGGTTGTCTGCCTGAGTTGACCCTGTGCAGCCTTTGCTGACAAAGTCTTCGGCATGCCAGTCTCTGGCCATTTTCCACCATGTGCAGCCACTTTTTCAGCAGCAGCAATCTTTCTTAGAAGGTCTTTCTCTTGGAGAAGGTATCCTTTAAGCTTGCTGTCCACAGCTGACTTATCCTGCTGATACTGCATGTCATCTGCAACGTTTTCCTTCGCCGCATACTGCGCGGATTCTTCCGCTTGTTGATGATTGACTTCGCTCATGTACTCAAGCTCCTTTTGTCTAGCTGATGCAACTTCAGCTGCATGAATAGCCTGCTGCTTGGCGATTGCAGCTTGTTTCATCTCGGATGCGGCCGCACGAGCTGCTCGTTGCGCAGCTTGTAGTTGTCTCTTCTTCGCTGCAGTCACAGCGCGTTCTAAGCGGATGCGATCCAACGCAGCCGCGTCCTTGGCTGCCTTGGCTGCTGCCGCCTCCCTCCTCAATCGAAGAGTGCGGAGAATGGCTTCACGCTTAGTTTCCAGCTCCCTCTTCTCAGCAAGCAGTCGGTCCAACTGAGTTTGAGTTACGTAGGGATGAGGATCAAATGGGAGAAGCTTGTGGTATCCCTGCACCGACGAAACGTGCTGAACAGGACGCGTACTCATCATGCTTTGAACTTTGTTGTCAACAGAGCTATCCATCGCTTGCTCCAGACTACCAAGCAAATCCCCAGAGAGCTGCTCAAAGCGGGCTTTTTTCTCTTGCATCTCAATGCGCGGATTAGACCTCCCCACTAACAAGGCAGAGACCAAAATAGCCACCGACGATAACGCGATAAAAGCGATCTGACAAGGAAACGTGAACTCCAGCAGTCAATGGATCAACAAGATGACCTTTCGCCTCTTGTTGACAGGCGCATCGTTTCCATGCATCAGGCCTATTCGGACATGGCCAGCTTCGACCATCGGGCCTGTGCAAGGGAGGGAGTCAGACGCACAAACGCTGTCTGGTCTCCTCTCGTGATTCGATTTCGAACAACGTGCTGGCTTTACTATGAAATCAACCCTCTCCTGCAACCCGGTAGATGCCAAGCGCCTCGCTCGACTATCTACTCCTAGCCTCACTGCGCCTTTTGGCCACAAGAGCTAAAATAGCAGAGTTTGCGGTGCATGTACACCCACCCACATGAATTCAGACCACTCTGATGCTTTGTCACATGTGTCTTATATGAGGATCTCAAAGGTGTTTCAGCCAGGATACATGATTTGATCACCATATCATTATCTTACTACAAAAAGCTGAATAACAAACTCTCTTCCAACCTTCTAACTCTCCCACTCTCGCCTCTTCTCTCACTTCTCTTCTCTCAATCATTTCTCTCCTCTCATTTCTCTTCTCTCAATCATTCCAGTCCTCTCACTTCTCTTCTCTCACTCCCTCGTCCCAATCTTCGCATGTCTGCGAAGTGTTGCCTTGCCTCTTCGAAATCCGTTACAAAACGTTATCTTGCTACTTGCCGCCCGGGCCGTTCACCCGGGCCGTCGGAGTCAGCATGGCAAGCTACGGTTACGATTCGTAACGACATCGATCAAGGCTTCCAAGTGAGTGATGGCTGAGGATGATGAAGTGGAGGAGGCCGGGGAGGAGGAGGGGCAGCAAGGAGGCGGTCCCGGAGGAGAGGTGGAGGTGAGAGATTGGTTCACGAGCTACGTCCATGCCAAGGGCCATGCCGAGTTGCAAGAAGAAATCGTCACCTCGAGGCTTGAACAGAACTTCAAACCAGGTACACAAGAGTAGATGTTAGTGCGAGACTAAATGTTGAAGCAGTGTGGTATGTTCGAACCAACGTTGAATCGAACTCGTCAAGAGTCACGCGGCCTGAGTTTGTTAGATTGAGGATCGATAAACAGAGAAGATCAATACAAGGTCTCAGTCTTGACTCTGAAGCAGCCTGCTCAGTGCACATCATGGCATGTCTGAAGTTAACATCTTGAGCAGGGATAGAAGATTTGCCTTCGGACAACCACGAAGTCTCGAATGCCTTGAAAGGCATAGTGAAGATGAATGAATCTCTCAACGCCCAGAGCTACTTGATCCACCTCATAAGCTCTTTATCGTTCTTCTCCTTGTTCCTGTCCGTCGTTGCTCAAGAGATCAACATGATGTTTCATGGAAGCGCCAAAAGTATTGTGCTCATATTGAGATTCGCGGTGAGATTCCTTCCAATTGGACTCAAATGGACTCGAATGGCAAATGTAGATTTTTGACATTTTTGCATGATTTGCATGATAGGTACTAGCTTTCTCACTCAGGCTTGCTTATGCGGTGTTGAGCTATCACTTATTGCGAGCTAACATTGTCATGTTCGGTTCCTTTTGATGCTATTCTGCGGTGTATAACGTATGAGAGAAAGGATTTACAAGTCCGGAAGTCGCCAGACCGTATGGACCAAATCGAAGCTGTTGAGGTTCGATCCAGTGTCTGTTGATCATGCACGGCAGACGTTGACCATCAGCTCAGAGTCGCCGTGGAGGTTCTCGTCAGCTTCGTGCACTGCCCTCCTGGCATCGTCACAGACATCACGATCGAGCAGCCCAACATCCCGAAGCATATCTTCGACGGACCTCCAGTGATCAAATTTCCCCTGGACAATCTTCTAACAGCATTGTCAACCTTGAGAATATTTTTCTGTGTCAGATCGATAAGGCAGGTGATGCATTGATGAATTCACTCGATTTTTTCCGGCTGATTATCAACATTCGAGATTCTTTCGATCAATGACGTCCAATCGCTAGTGGCTTCTCGATGTAGCTCGATTGACCTCAACTCAATCTCTTTCTGGACCAAGTGAGCACATCTTTGATTCTCTTCTTCCAGTCCGATACAGCCCTACAGTGATGTCGTTGCAGATACTGTATCTCGGTGTATCCTTTACGGACGGTGACTTTTACCTATGCGAGTTTCTTCCTTTTGACAAGGGCTGCATTCCTATCGCATGATGTCAACAGGTTGCCCTTGGCAGCCTTTCCATCATTTGCCTGATGGCATATTGGCTGCGGCTGATGGAATCCTTCCAAGACGCTGATCGTGCTGCTATCAATCACCTTGGCGACTTCTCCAACCAGCTGTGGCTCATCACAGTGTCTCTCACTGGAGTCGGTTACGGTACCTCTCCCCGTTACTGAATGCCTGCACGTGACACCTCAGCACAGGCGACTCCGTGGCAGTGACTCGGTTGGGTCGTTTCGTCTCGGCAATCTCCTTCATCATGGGATTTGTTATCTCGTCCATGATGCTGACCGTGTTCACGCGATTCGTCCGACTCGGCAAGACAGAAGAAAGATGTGCAGACGTCTTCGTGAAGAACTATCGCATGCTTGTTGGACAGAAAGCAGCACAGAGGTACATCATAGCATGGTAAGGTTTCAAACGTGCTGTTATTCCGAGTGGAATAGACGTGTTCTTGCAGGTATCGTCTATTCAAGTTCTATCAGGACACCAAGAAGAGAAGAGATATGCAATACGAGTCGAGCCAGAGTCTTGGAGATGGAACTCGTGTGGAGAACATTGAGTGGAACTCGACACAGGAAAATATCTTGTACTCTCAATGGAATTCAGCAAGGTCCCTCTTCGAGACCTTGATTGGTTGTGAGGAGAGCTTGTTCAGGAAGAGATGGGCTCGAATTCGAAAGGAGTTGAAGACGAGACAAGAAAGTGATCTCTCTACAGAGCTTCTTCTCTCCGAGATCCTTCAGGTGCTCCTCCCGTTGAGTTGACTCTCTCAAGGGCCTGAGCAGGAAGTGGACGTGCTGGAGAACGAGGTCTGCAGTCAGGGCCATCGGGTGGTGGAGCTGAAAGAGAAGCTGAGGTGCGTCTACTGGGCGAAGCGAGGGACTCACATGCTGTGTAGCAAGTTGGAGCAGCAGCTGGAAGGGGGTCAGAGGGAAATACAGGCGATTCAAGACATCTCAAGGAGCAACGCAAACATGATCGAGACAGTCCATGCCCACATGAAAGCTCATCTGAGAGATCGATAGCTCGTGCCTGTCCTGCTCTTGATGAAAAACAATGATAAACAAGACCTTGCTTGATACTCTGAAACAAGACCTTGCTTGATACTCTGAAACAAGACCTTGCTTGATACTCTGAAACAAGACCTTGCTTGATACTCTGAAACAAGACCTTGCTTGATACTCTGAAACAAGACCTTGCTTGATACTCTGAAACAAGACCTTGCTTGATATGAGAGCTTCTGTTGGCTCCTTCTCTTCTCCACTAAACCCGCCCCGCCCCGCCCCCAGCCCCGCCCCGCCCCCCGCCTCGGTTTCCACCTGCTCGTCCCCCTCCCTCTTTTATAAAAAACATGGGGCGACAGGGCGCATCTGCTACCCCTCCTCCTGCTGCTTCATCGCATCTGCTACCCCTCCTCCTGCTGCCTCATCGCATCTGCTACCCCTCCTCCTGCTGCCTCATCGCATCTGCTACCCCTCCTCCTGCTGCCTCATCGCATCTGCTACCCCTCCTCCTGCTGCTTCATCGCATCTGCTACCCCTCCTCCTGCTGGCCCGCCTGGCTGATTGTCTAGTTTGCCGATGTTCGTATAGACCGAGACGAAAGGGATGGCATGCTAGGACAACCAAGACAGACAGCCATGCGGGTAGCGACAGCGTTGCTTATGCTTGCTGGACTTGTTGCAGCGGGAGAGTTTGAGAGAATCGGGTATGATAATTCCTTTGGATCGAATATCAAGCTTGACATGAAGAGATGGATGTTGAATAAGATGTTTTATATGAATGGTTGCTTTTGAGATGAATGATTGTATTGCTTGTTGTGGATAGACAGATCGGTGAGGAATATGTAGGCAGCAAGCTCTCTTGGACTTCAATCAGCAGAGATTTTCAGCCGCTCTCCGCGGCTTCCAGGAGCTGAAGAAACTTCAGCCGAGAAACCATGAGATCTTCATCGCCATCGCGCAGGTCATCACCTTCTCCTTCTTCTCATCCTCCCTTCCCTTACGGTCCTCAGACACATCAAGCCATGGGCAACGTCCAGGCAGCGCTGGATGAGCTGCAGGCGGCGGTAGCGGGTGAGGAAGACAAGCAGAGACAGAGAGAGAGCTTAGAGCTAAAGCAGCTATCGGGCACCTCCATCCTCAAGTGTGGGAGGTCTACCTCAAGATCGGAGATTTGCTCAAAGGAGCCGGTATTTTGCCTCAAACCCTCTACCCTCTCCCAGCTCCTACTCCTCCTTCACCTCCTCCTTACGCTCTCCTCTCTTCCGCTTGAGCCTCTTGGCTTTCCAGTCCTCCTCCTTGTCTCTCTTCCGTTTCTCATCCTTGCGCTCAAATCTATTCGTCGCGCTTGTCCGCGTGCTCATCTATCCCGTTAGTCACCTCGACCTGCAGGTGACTTCACACAAGCTCTGCGCGCATACGATGCCGCGCTGGAAGTTTCACCCAATCAGGTGATGAAAGGACGAGGCCAGGAAAGACAAGGGGGGGGGGCAGTGGAAAAGAGGACAAGGAGGGAGGCAGTGTTCGGACAACACCTAAAAAACATTTACAGGCATCTGTATTTCAACAAAGAGGGGTTCTGAATCAAGAGCTCGATGCCTACGAGCAAGCTGAGAAGGTTAGAGCAGGGATGGAGCGAGAGAATCGAAGAGGGACTGCTGAGAGTGAATGGAGAAGGAGGAGGAAGGAAAGGAAGGAGCAAATTTAGTGTAAAAATGGCTGGTTTGGAGGAATAGTGGGGGAAGAGGGAGAGTAAGACGAGGGAGAGTAAGACGGGGTAGGAGAGTAAGACGGGGTAGGAGAGTGATATCAGGAAGAAGGCGACGAGTGGGGAAGAAAGACAGTACAGTGATGCAGGTGTCAACAGGACTTCCAATCAGCGGTGAAACTTGATCCCATCAACCCTCAAGGTTCCTCCTGCTTCTCCTTCTCTCGCCTCACTCCGCTGGACCCGATGATATCCGACTATCTGAAAGCATAAACTCCATCCCATTCCGCCTCCCTCCTCCTCCTTGTTGTCTCCCCCCATTCCCTCATTCCACACAGGGCTCCCCCGGCTTTCTTCTTTCTAATTTCAAACCTTGGTCAGGCTGGAGCGGCTTGGGGATCGCTTGGATGTGAGAGAATGTGCCCTGTCTTGCTCTGATCGTCACTTTTCGTGCCGTCCTCCCATTGACTCCTAAGTCTCTCTTCAGGTACCTCGAACACGTGCTCCCTGACGGCAAACCCGAGGAATACGACAGTTATGATGAAGGTCTTGAGATGGAGGAAGCGAGAGGGAGGGAGCAGCAGAGAAGGGGAGAGAAGAGACATGTCGAGAGGCTGAGCTGCATGTCAGGCTCGATATTCGCCCTGAGGAGAGTCATGGAGCTGCAGCCCAAGGAGTGAGAAGTCCTTGCTCTGCTCTTCGCTCCTCCTCACCGATGCGTTAGCATGGTCACGCTCTCAAACCTCGTGATGGCGGAGGTGAGGACATCTCAGGACTTCGTCTCTGACTTGCTGTAGAATCGCGTGTGCGATTGGTCGTTGAGGGATGTGCATCTGAAGGCGATGAAACAAGCGCTGCGAGAAAGGTCTCTTCTCGTCCTCTTCCCCCCCCTGCCCTCCATTTGTCTTCCTCCTCCTTCTCTTGATTCACCCGCAGAGCGTCGAGAAAAGAGAACTTTGCTCCTCCTTTCCACGCCATCGAGTTTGGCTACTCGCCCAAGGAGCTTCTCGTCAACAGCAAGTGGGCAGCTGCTGGAGTGAACGTGAGCTGACAAGGAGCAGGTACCTGTCGATGAGGATAGGCGAAGCTGTGAAGGAGCAGAGGCGACTCGTGCCACCCAACCCCGCAGCTTCAAATCTAAGCAACTCCCTCCAGCTCAAGATCGGATACGTGAGGCAGGAGGGGAGGAAGGGTGTTATTGGGAGAGAGGGGAGGAACTTGAGAGAGGGGAAGAGGGGAAGCAAGCTAACGGAGTGAAGGTGAACGGTGCTGGCTTCCGCAACGGTACAACAACTGCGAGATGTCTGCAAAGCATGTTCAGCTATCATAGCAAGAGTGTCAAGGTTGCCTCCCCCGCACTGCATCCTCTTCGCTCAGATCATCTCCCTTTCCCTCGGCCCTCCTCTCTTCTTTCCCCCGCTCTTGTCTATCATAATCCACGATTTACGATCTTGTTTTGCCTTCTACAACATTCTTTGGCACTGTTCATGTTCCTCTCTATAGATTGTCTGCTATGCGCTTTCCAGCGATGACAGCTCAAAAGAAAGGTAGACCCAAGCGATGTTTCTCAGCCATTCCTCCGTGACCCTTGACCTGTTCACCTCCATCTCCCCTCTTCCCTCCCCTTGCTTTTTCTCTCCTGTCGTCTTTTCTCGCCTTCTCTCGTCTCCTCCCCTCCCCTCCACTCTGCACTTTCCTCGACTGGACTCTCTGTCTTCTTTGTCTTATGCTGCCGCAGGGACTCGATCAAGAAAAGTTGCAGTGGAGGATGGGTGGATGGCTCAAGCATGACAGACCAAGAGCTTGCAGCACGAGTGGGTTCAACCAGGAGGAGGAGGAGGAGGAGGAGGAGGAGGAGGAGGAGGAGGAAGGAGGG